TCTGTTGGAGTTAGTTCGTCATCCCATTTTGTCTTATTCTTTCAAAGCTCCTGGCAAAAGCGTTTCCAGCTTAGGGTAGTCGAAGATATAAGTCCTAATGGGTCGAACTGGCTCGCAATAAATGATAGGACTGATCTTTGGGTGACTTTTCTGTCGGTCCATTTGTTTAATCTGAATATTATGACATCTTCTTGCGGATCCCATACTAACCCAAGTACTGATTCTGCGCAGTAAACGGTTAAAAGTGAGGGATCGGCGTTAGATTGCTTTTTTGGCCGATCTAACCTTGTTTTTCTTATATGCATTCAGAGATCGTTGAAAGTGGAAAGTGTTCAAAGACTGCACATTTCTTCTGCTGAGCAAATCGTGTGTTTGTCGTGTGATTCATCGGTGTTTTCAAAATTTAAACAGCGTTGTATCGCTGAATGATTTTAGTTTGAGGGCTGACGTTTTCACCTCAAGTGTATTTTTGGTAAAAGCGTTTTTGCTTTCTCGTGATTGGGCTTCATTCTGTTTTAAGCTTTGGTAAACATTGAAATAAACAATTAAATTGAAAAATAGAAGATGCGTCCTTTAAAATGTTTTAGGTTTGATGTAAATCTTAGAGTTTGAAACTCGTAAGTTACAAAGATTGTGAGCCATGATGTAGAAGACAATCATTTTCTATATAACTTCTCTGTCATTCTCAATATACAGTTTTAGCGTGGGGAAGTGGATGGAAGGATAAGTCGTGGATTTCTGCTATTGAACAGTCAGTCTGTCAAGAAAATGAACAAGTTACTGGGATCACTCTTTTTAACCATGGAGAAAACTAAGTAGGAAAATCAGTTTGCAGACAGAAGGTTGGGATTTCCGGACCTTTCAATACAACAGAAGCGTATTTTATTGCTGATATTACCACTTGCTGATACTACCACTTGAAAAGCAGCTTGAAAGATTTTTTTCTCATGGAAACCGAGTTTATGGTTTTTTATGTTGTGACAATATTTCAGCTTTGCCAAGAAAGCAGGTGTTTGAGAGAAAGTTGGTCAGATGACAATTGTACGAATGCTGCGGGCTTTGTGGTTGCTGTGTGTTATCGTTAGGAGCTTAATGTTACATGCCATCCTGATTTCAGTTATCCTACTATTGTACTATCAAAATGCTAAAATAAAAATATTTGTATTGGCAAAGTGGATGCTAATTAGTAGATGTATAAAGGAATTAAGAAACTGTAGTTAAGTCTGGTTTGAAATATAATCTTTTTTGTTTTAAAATGATTTACACGATTTGGCTGCGTGGATTTTTCACCTAGCGTGTTTCGGGCAGTTCTGAAAGTTTTTTAGACTGCTTTTGCGCAATAATGCTGGTAATGACGTTTTTAAAGTTGTTCGCCGCGAATCGGAACCTTAGTTACCTTATTGGTCACTTTTCTTAAGATCCGTCAAGAACTGAAAAAATTTTGATGGCACATAACGTTTTTTAATAATTAGAACCCACGAGAAATTACTGGAGTCAACAACTAGGACAAATGTTCGTCGGATAGACGAAACAATTTATTGTTATAGCCAGCCATTGACGATTTGGTAATGTAGATTAAATTTTTCTAGCAACACCTTTCTAATGTTGAATTATTCGCAGCTAAGCGATTATACCGCCTTTAAGGTAAATGGACAGGAACGTTTCTGAAAGTTTAAGCTTCTTTGAGCTTCTTTGAACTTGCTTTTACAAGGTGGAATCAAGTTAATTTTTAGCAATTATAAGATTTATGACTTCGATTTTTTATAGCAAAATCTACTCATTGCAACTGCTTTTTAAACTTGCCACTCGAAACTTTTATGTTCTTTAATACCACGGAAGGTTGGGTCAAGAGATATTTCCTTGCTATCTGAGTTAAGTTTGAGATTGGTCGAATTTTTTGTCGCATTTTTTCCTTAGGGTTCCGCTGATCAGACAATGAATAATACCATTCTTAAAATGGCGCTACCGTCGTAAGTTCGGTGTTGCTCTAAATTCTGCCACCGGGAACAGCAATCATGTGAATATCTGTCTGCGAATCCATTACGCAATTAATACCACATCACTGGCGGAGAAATATCTTGAATAAGTTTCTAAAAAAAAAAAACGTTGTTAGTTGGGATGGATAGCTTGCTTCATGTTTCAGCAGTCATAATCTGTAATGAGTAATACTGGATTTAGAAAAGAAGTACAGTAAGGTTCTGTAATTCAAATACATTATTCTTAATCATAGTTTTAAATAAGTAAAAATGGTATGACCAGTAATACTTTACGCCTAAACAGTTTTAAGCATCTGCATGTAATCGTATGTGTATAAAAAAGTGTTGGACGCATTACGTTTTTGTTAAGACTATCCTGAGTAACGAAAATATGGTTTGGAGAAGACGTTAAAGCGGCTCAATCTGACTGTTAAATTAAGAATGTAATGGAAACTGACTTCACCAACGTATTTCACGGCTTCCTGTACCACTTGGAGTAGTTAGCTTGCGGCATAACAATTATATGAAAAGGATAGAAGTAGCTGGAATGCTGTGTTATGTTCTTTGCCATCTGTAGACTTCATTAGGTTTAGGCTGAAAATTAACGAAATTTGCTGAAGTCGCAAACTACAGAATGTACTGGCGCTGTTAATATTTGTTGCTTCAAAGCAAAGCTTGAAAAGCAGTGATGCTTTGCTGAACCCCCGCCTTTTTGAAACTACCGTATAAATTTGTCAAATAAACTTCAAATTATCACTGTTCTACTATACAGTTGACAAACAAATTTGTTTGAGTTGACTTCTGTTTATTTCACAAAGTATCTTTTGGTAGATTGAAAAACATTTAAAGAAGTATTTAAAAACGGAATGAAGGAAAAACTTATCGCATATTACTAAGTAGCTTATTTTTTTTCTTAAGAATTAATTTGTCAATTTTATTTTTTACGCAAGATCGACTTTTTCTGCTTCACATGTATTGCAGAACTGCATCATCAAAAATTTGGGAATGTTGCTTATTCTACTTATAGTACTTATTCTAATTTAGAGAAACGCTTGTGAAAATTCGGCGTTTCACTTTAAATGCTGCAGCAAAAACTAAGTCTTTTAAAAAATTTACATGGTGCTGCACTTTTGGAAAGAACATTCGTACTGTGAAATCCTATATTCGGTTTATCAACCCAACAAATTAAGAAAATGACCAAATAGGTGCTAGAATTTTGTTCCGAAAAATCGTAAAAAATAGTGTACCAAAAAAAAGCAAAGATTTATAAGGACTGAAAAGGAGTGTAAAGAATCATTTTACTGGTATGTTTCAGTACTGTCGTAACCGCTGTTCAAAGTCTTGTTTTTCGAGAAGTTTAAAAATTCAGAATTTTAATTCGTTGTTAAGTAATTTCAACATTTTCAGTATAACTTCAGTAACCACAACTTTTGAGACCAAAATCATAAACAGATTTGAAAAGGACAAGCGCTTTTGAAAAATTGATTTATCGTTCTGCTGCTTTAGCAGGTGGAGTTAGGAAAGAGGAATGAAACCGGAGTAATTTGATGCGAAAAATATTAGTTCCATAGTTAATCCCAAAGCTTTTTGCTTTTATTGTTTTTTGAAAGTAGTTATGATTTTCGTGAATAACTGAAAAAGAAACTATTGAGTGTTGTAATTTTATGATTTTATACAAGTTAATTTGGGTATCACAACTTGAAAGGAGAGCAAGTGAAAATAGCGCAAAAAAATAATAAAACTTTTGTTACTTCCTATTTTCACCACTTTCTGTATTATGGTAACTACTAAGAAGTTAATTTGGCATACCTTGCTGCACTTTCTATAAGTTACTCAAAAAAGGATTATAGCGCTATAGTCTCCTCGTTACGTGTTTTTTGTCAGCAGCTGACGGTGAAGAAGAAATAAGGATAAAAAATGAGAAAAAGACGGTTAAGTCAGTCAATCATGTTTAGACGCTTGGATTTTTTTGGTCTGAATAAAACTTCCTCATTGTATTCAAATACAATTTATGGTTCACATCGTCGCAGTACTTTCATATTCTTATTTCAGATATTATTTCCGGCTCGAAATTCTTTAATTACGCTCTTGGTATCTGAATGTAGAGCAGCATTTGAGAGAAGTGAAGATCCTGAATGTCCATCTCAATCAAAATCTAAACTTTGCTTAGTATTATCGAAAAAGATTCATCGATAACGGGAATTTGTGAAAATGAGAAAATTTGCCTCTATCGTCTTAATGGTTCAATCGAAAAATTTTTTGGAAGTCTGGCAACTATTATTTAAAATTTTGAAAATAGGACTGATTGTTTCTTGCACTTCAAGCTCTCCTGACTTCTTTTTTTTTTTTGTACCTTTTAAGAGGATCAATGGCCAATTAGTTTTACAAGTTCTTTGAGGGTGACTATGTCGAGGGTGAATTACGTTTTTTTCGCACTTATGAATGGTCTGACTTTGTCGCCAGCGATTTTTTCAGGTAAATTTTCCATTTTAAAAGTCGGTATCAAGTGCTGCAAGTAAGCAAAAAATGAAAAAAACCTGAGAGGTTGAGGTGCAAACTTGTGCGAGTTGGCTTGGAATGGTCCATGTATATATATATATATATATATATATATATATATAT